ACTATGAATAACCACTAAGAAGATAACAATATGCAATGTATTATTGAAACTGTCCTATTAATCAGTTTTGAAACTGTCTCATTGCTGTTTCTCAATAAAACTAATAAAACTTCAAAAAAAAAAAAGAGTTATATACTTCTTATGTTTACACATAAGTCCAAAAATTTTTTTTAAAGGAAAGCCAATATATATTGAGCCTGAACTAACATGTCAGGCACTAAGATGAGCATTTTATTTATTTATTTATTTATTTATTTATTTATTTATTTTTGGTGGAACTGGGGATTGAACTCAGGCCTTTGTGCTTGCCAGGCAAGCACTTATTCTACTGAGCCATCTCCCCAGCCCCAACCTAACACACGTTGTAGAAATAGAAAAAACAAACAAACAAACAAACACAAAGTTAACAGAAGTGTCTTCTGCTATAACAAAATATATTAAACTAGGTATCTGAAAAACAACAGAAACTTACAATTCTTAAAGGTGGATGGACCAAAATCAAGCTGCTGGCAGATTCAGTGTCTACTAAGAGCTCACACTCTTCACATCCTAGATCATTATACCCTCACATTGCAGAAGGTGATAACAAGCTCTCTTGTAACTCTTTTTTTTTTTTTTAATTTTTTATTTATTTTATTTGTGTGTGTGTGTGGTCAGCTCAGCCCACCAGGGGGCGGGGCTGGCTGGCATGTGGTGCCGGGGATTGAACCACGGTCCCTGGGCTTTGCCAAACTTGTTCTAAGTAGGTGCTTTAGACCACTGAGTCATCTCACCAGCCCCTCTTGTAACTCTTATAAGGGTACTAATTTAATCATCTCCCAAAGGGATTACCTCTTAATATTATCAGATTGGGGGTTAGGTTTCAAGATAAAGATTTGAGGAAGATACCAACACTCAGACTATAGAAAGCAAGAAAAAAAAATAATAGTGATCAGAACACATATGATTAGAATAGATAAACTAGAAAATAGGAAAGCACTAGGACCAGCAAAACTAAAAGCTAGGTCTTTGGAAAGATCAATTAAATTGACTAAACTTTAGAGTGACAAAGAAAAGTAAGAGAGAAGACACAGGTAGTGAGTAAATCAGATACAAAAACTAAGACATTACTACCAAACCTAAGAGAAACAAGATTATAAGAGACATGCATGGTGGAACATGACTATAATCTTAGCTATTCTGGGGGCTGAAGCAGGCTTTAACAAGGCTAGCTTCAAATCATAAATTTGAAGCTAGCCTTGTTAAACTTACTAAAACTCTGCCTCCAAAATACAGTAAGGGAAGAAAGATCTGGACATATAGAACAGACTAGAGCATTTGCCTAACATGTATGAAGGCCTGGGCTCAATTTCCCATATTGTAGAGGAAGAAAAAATGAAAGGAAAGGAGAGATTTTTAAGAGAATACTATGAACAACTGTGTGTGTACAGTATTTCAGCGAGCTCCAGATGACCAGAATAATTTTTTTTTTTTTTTTCAGTACCAAGGACCAAACTTGGGACCTTGCACTTGCCAGGCAGGTGCTTATGCTGCTGAGCTATGTCCCCAGTTTCAGAATAATCTTGAGAAGTACCAAGTTGGAGGAGTACACTATTCAGCCATGAAAAAAGAATGAAATACTGACACGTGTTTTATGGGTGGGTATTAAAGACACCTGATGAGTGGAACAGGCCAGTCCCACAGAACAAGTATCCAGACTAAGCCAATTCAGAGATGGAAAGTGTGTCAAAGGGTAAGTGCAGCTGGAGGAGGTGGCATTGGGAATCACTACTTTAAGCTTACAGAGTTTCTGTTTAGAGTGAAACAGAATTTGGCAACAATTATAATGGTTGCAAACAGTGTGGCTATAATTAAGGTGGCATATTACATAATATACATTTATCACGAGTGTTTTATAAAATAAGAAATAAAAACTTATAAAAGTGTCTTACCTGAAGCATGATATGACTGCAAACAGTATGACCAGAAGGTAAGCCAAGTGAAACAAAGGGATGACTGTCTTAGATGTCACTTCAAACTCCAGTTGTCGGGAAACTGATGTAAAGTAGACTACCTGCCATAAAAGTACACCTACTTAAGTAATTTTCAATCTCTGTATTTGTCTATGAGTGCTATGGCTTGTATCTATATGTCCTCCTAGTATGTCATGTGGTCACAGGTGGCTGGATGCGGGGTGTGCTGCTGGGGTCAAGGATGTGATGCTGAGATTGAATCATTGTAGGATTAAGGTTGCCCCACCCTGGGTGCGAATGCTACATGCCCTAAGGGTGGGTACCCTAAATAAGATATAAGGGATAGAAAAAGGGTCATTGTCTGTCACTTGCTGCTTCACTACTTTGTGCTTGTTGCTGCTTTGTGCCTGCCATAAACTGTTTCTTCCCTGAGATGCCCCTCGTCCATGCTACCCTGCCTTGGAGTTAGCCGACTATAGATTGATATCTTTACAAACTGTGAGTCAAATAAACTTCTCCTCCTTTAACTCTGTGCGTTGCATATTTTGTCTCAGCAATGAGAAAAGTAACTAAGACAATGAATTACACATTAGTTTACTGATAGAAACTTTAAAATTTAATGAAAAAATAGTTATAATTTTAGGATAGAGAATGCAGTGTAGATTTTCTGCTTCCCATAAAATGTATGTTTTGCTTTCCCAAGTGTCCTTCAAAACTCAAAGCTTACCAGTATGGCAATGCATTCCAATTACTTGGGAAGCGGAGTCAGAAGGACCACAAGTTTGAGATCAACCTGAGCAACTACTAACTTGAGACCCTGCCAAAAACTAAACACAAGGGCTGTATATACAGCTACTGTGCTCTCTTGGCTCAACCCTATAATTGAATTTTGTATGAAACTGAAATTTAGTTCTCTTTATTTTGAAAATTGTGGCTTTTTCTAATTTTTGTCAGATTTGTATATTCTGTACAAGTATTTCTGATCATCAGTAAGAATCTCACTTTCACTAGATTTTTGGGTAACTATTAAGAGTTTTTTGGGGGCTGGTGAGATGGCTCGGTGGTCTAAAGCACCTACTTAGAACAAGCT